TTAGTCCGCTCTAACTTATTAATGAACGTTATCGGTACAATTAAAATACACTTAAATAAATATTTAAAACAATTCATATTTATAATATTTTTCTGTATGTACACGGGCATGTACACGCTTTAGAGCGAACTAAATTGAGTTCTCAAAAAGATTTCGATCATTTCCCGATTTTCGCAGTCAAAATATTAATTTCTGAAGCGCCGAATATTCGCTATCGCGATAGCTAGCGCGCGAAGAGTGGGGATGGTTGGCAAGCGCTCCGCCGCCCGTGCCGCGCACACCGCCGCTAGCCCCCAAACGTCCGCTTCCCGCGGCCCGCGCGCCCATCGCGGCGTTCTGTAGGCGTACACTCAATGGTGTGGTAGGCCGGACGGACGCGCGTATTTGCCAATCTTTAAAAATTAATATCTCGTTAACTATTGCTGCAATCCCAAAATGGTACAGGACTTTTCGACTCAGTATAGTCTGTTCTACCCACCCGTGAAGTATTTGGCGGTTATTCTCGCCCACCCTGTATATTAATTAGTATTATATGTATAATACTATTATATAGTATACTTTCTGTGTTAGTAAATTACAATTATATATCAAGATCATGTTATACAGTACTGAAAATATAAAATGAGAATGTAGAATAGGCCCCTCCATCGCCCATCCTCGTGAAAAGCAACCAATCTTATCTTTTTTTCGTTTCTCCATTCAGGAGGCGCGGTAGGGTCTCCGGCCATGTTCAAAAACTGAGAGACGCTACAAGTCTCTTATCCCGAGACACCAAAATTCATTTTTGAGTGGTGCATAACTAATAAAATATAAAAAATTTTGAATCAAACGTTATGTCCTGAAAGGCGGCATCACCACGAGTAATTTGAGCCAAAAAAATTTTAAATCGGTCAATCCGTTCTGGAGATATAAGCGGTCAAAGAGTGGTGATTTTAATGAAAAATTAAGAAACGTCTCCTTCTTCTTCTCCTTCTTCTCTGTCCGCATTCAAAATTTTTCAAACCGCCATTTAAACCTTTTAACATCCTCTCTCACCTTTCACTCGCACCTCCACCATCTTCGACCCACCGGACCTCCTCTACTCGCCACTCCCCTTCCCCCACCAACCACCCCCGCCGCTCCTCTCTTTCGCCGTATTTCACTTTTCTCGTTATTACAACTTTTTAACGTTCTCTCTCACCTTCCACTTGCACCTCCACCATCTTCGACCTACTGGACTATAGAATATTAATTAAAATAAGAATCCGACTGCTGACTGGTACAACGAATATTTAAAAAGAAAAATTTTGAAAAATTATCATATAATTATAAAAAACTTTATTAAAAAAAATTTGTTTTAAATGAAGGTAATAAAGAAAATCGATGAGTTAATATTAGACGGTTAGTGAAAACAATCTTGGGGATTGTTTTGATGTGGAAGGGCGGATGCGCGCGAGTTTCATATCCCCCCCTCACCCGGCTTACCGATAAACCGAGCAGTCATCTTTTAAATATATATTAAATAAAATTATTGTTTTAAATACTCCCGACTGCTGACCGATATGACGTATATTTAAAACCATCGCAGTACTATCACGAGTTAAATTGTAATATACTACCACGAAAAGTAACAGATTATTAATTATTAAAGTTGCCAATACAAAGTGAACATGTGTACGTAAAGTGTATTCGACTGTCATGGGACATTTCGACTGCCCGCGGAGCGGTGAGGGGATCAATGCAACATTTGGTTGATTTTCGAATCGCTTCCGTCTAGCTTTCGCTGTCCCTCTCACAATCGCACCACGCATAATATATTACAACGAAAAGTAACTGTTTTAGATTTATTTAATAATTTTGATTTATAATTACTGCGAAAAGTAACTGTTTTACATTTATTTTTTAATTTTGTTTTATAATATGCAATCGCGTTAACGGAAAAAAAATATATTTTTGTGTATGTGTGTGGGTTAAGCGTGTGAGGTTCGGTGAGACAATGCAAAGAAATATAATAATGTTAATGAGCACTTTATTTGGCACGGTTGTTGTGTGCGAGATCGTTACGTTACAAGAAGTAGCGGGAACGGAAGGTACAGAAGTACGAGCTACGAACGATAGAGAGTGTGTTCGACGGAAGCTTGCTCGTGATTGATCGAGATATAAAGCGCGTTTTACATAAGTGCGTTCGTACGAAGTAAGTAACTATTGCTAAACGAAATATTACGATTACGATTTACAGAAAAACATATTCATACATTCTTCCCTGCTTACAAAACAAAACAGAATTAACTTGGTACATATCTATTAGGAGGATGACGAGATCGAGTCGACCTACGTGGTATAACTGGTGGTGTAAAAAATAGTTCTGGTGACGACTCTTGCGATCTGATTGTTGAGTGGGCTGGCGTCGATGGTAACTTCACCATCTTTGACTGTGGATTTGGAGTCGTAGAACCCACTGCTTCATTCGGGATGACTTGTGGTTTATCTCCATAGAAATGAACTCGTCGGGGTACGCTAGGTTGCGTTTCTTCAGTTTGTGTTAGATTGCGATCAGTTGAACATTCTGATTCCTTACTGATGAATGCGCGAATCTGGTCTACATGTCGCTTAAATCGTTTACTGGCGTATTCTATTTCATAATGAAGATCTCCTAGCCTGGTAACGATTATGCCTGGAATCCATTTATCCATCCGAGGATTACCCGAGAGGAAATAAATTGTTTGTCCCGGTTTAAATGATCTAGATGAAGGATCAAGCTGTAGTTGTTTCTCCTTCATTTTGGTGTACATACTATCAGGTCGGACCAAGTCTAACCGAGTTCGTATATTGCGACCTAAGAAGAGTTTAGCAGGAGGCTGTCCTGTTGTCGTGTGTGGAGACTTACGGTATTGTTGCAGAAATTGGTTTATGTTCCGTTGTATGGTCCCTTGAGTAGTAGACATCGTATTTAAAGCATTCTTGATGGTTTGTACGTATCGTTCTGCTTGGCCGTTTGTCGAAGGATGATACGGCGCTGTAAGCTTATGATATTTGACGCCGCTGACTTGTAAGAACGTTTCGAACTCAGCGGAAACAAACTGGCGACCGTTGTCTGAAACTATGGTAACTGGAACTCCATAAGTTGAAAATAATTCGTCTAGGATTGCGATTGTCGCTGCAGTAGTCGTAGAGTTGGTGACTTTCACCTCGAGCCATTTGCTATATGCGTCTGTGATGATAAGCAGCATCACGCCTGCTACGGGTCCGGCGTAATCAATATGTACGCGTTCCCATGGCCCCTTAGGATACTCCCAATGGTGGTTCCTGGATTTCGGAGGAGCATGAGCGTGCTTGGCGCATTCCGCGCAAGATTTTGCAACCCGCTCGATGTCTGCATCAATCCCTGGCCAATATACAAATGATCGAGCGATGCCCTTCATTTTAACGATTCCTACATGTGCCGTATGCAGGTCGTTTAATATTGCTGGTTGTAGCGAGGCTGGTATTACCACCCGATGTTCGAATAGCAAACAATCAGCAGTTAATGAATACTTGGCTTCAGGGGCTTTGTAGCCTGCTCGTGGGAGGTCTCGGCCAGTTTCTAAGATTTTGACGATCTTGCCCAAATGTGGATCCTTGCGTGTCTCCTCAGCTATATGTTCTGCACGAACTGGAAGTTGTCTAATTTGGCATAAAACAAATTCATCGAATTCATCGTCTATTGCTTCTTCCTCTTTTTCAATTTCAAGTCTGTAGACTGTGTTGTTCGTGGTTGATAGCGGCAAGCGAGAACAATAATCTGCATTACTATTCAATTTAGACGGCTTAAATATTACTGTATAATTAAAGTGTGAAAGATAATCGGCGTAATTGGCCATACGACTAATACAAAGAATAGGGAGAGATTTTTCTGGATGTAAGATCTGAGTTAACGGTTTGTTATCTACGAACAAAGTGAAGTGTCGCGCGTATAAGTAGTAAAAGAATTTTTGTACGGCCCAGATGATGGCTAACGCTTCCTTGTCTATCTGCGGATAACGTTGTTCAGTGTGACTAAGTGTACGACTCGCGTATGCTATCGGACGTTCTTGTCCGTTACTCAATTTGTGTGAGAGAACTGCGCCTAACCCTATTTTGCTAGCGTCCGTTGCTAGGACTAACGGAAGTGAAGGATCGTAACACATTAGAACTTGTGGAGAAATTAGAGCCTTCTTAATATCCTTATACGCTGTTTCGCCTGCTGATGTCCATTTAAATGGAGTAGTGAGAAGCATATCTCGAAGTGGACGACTTCTAGTCGCAAGATCCGGAATAAATGAATTATAATAAGTCGCTTTACCTAAAAAGAGTTGTAATTCTTCTGGAGTACGAGGTAATGGCGCGTCCCGTACCGCCTCGACGTGTTTATCGGATTTGTGCACGCCTGCACCGTCTATTTTATGACCTAAGAATTCTACGGATGATGAGGCAAATGTACATTTAGTTCGATTAAGTCGAAGACCGTGTGATCTCATTCGCTCTAGAGCGGTTTCCAAGGTTAACATCAAGTTCTCGAAATTATCTGCAAAGATTAAAACATCGTCATAAAAATTAAATACATTTGGAATACCTTGGAGGACTGTTTCCATTCTACGCTGCCAAATCGCGGGAATATTCGCTGCACCGTAAACTGCTCGTTTAGGACGGATTAACCCATGGGTCGGTGTATTCAGTGTTAGAACTTCTTTAAATTTTTCGTCGACCGGTAGATGTGTGTATGCGTCGGTAATGTCCAGATGACAAAAGAGTTTCGCATTCTTCATTTGACTGAACAAATGCTCAATCCTTGGTATTGGATGTTCATCTATAATCATGCGAGGATTCAAGGTGGGTTTGTAATTTCCAGTGATACGCAGCTTCCCATTCTTCTTGACAACGACGTGTGTGGGCGATGCCCATTCCGAATGTTGCACCTTCTCATAAAAACCTGATGCGATTTTAGCTTCAATTTCTTTCGCATAAGCGTCGCGTAATGCTAGCGGCACTTCTCGTGCTCGAACGAATATCGGTGATGTTTCTGGTTTCAGATGCACTGTGGCTGGCGGTCCTTTCAGTGTACCAGCAATGTCGCTAAATACATCTTGGTAATTAGATAATAAATGATCCATTTGTTCTTTCTGCTTCGTAGAAAGGCAAGGTACGGTAGTAGTCAACGTATGGATCTCGTTTGTAAATAGCTCGACGAAATTAATATCTCTAGCGAATTGTGTAATCCATTCGCGTCCAAAAAGAGTATCAAAATGACCATCGACATCGTAAAGACCCATTTTCTTCGTAGTTGTCCCCACTGTTACGTTAACAGGAGTTGAGCCAATGCATTTAATATGGTGACCTGTGTAGCTTACAAATCGCCTATTAGTATTTTGCAATATGGATCCTGGTTTGATGGCTTGTAATTTTCCCTTACTAATAATACTGCAAGGTGCTCCAGTATCCAATTCCATTTGTGTATTGCAACCGTCAATTAGAACGTTAAGAATTTGCTTACGTAGCGGATTAATTGCGTTAATTACGTGGACTTTACTTAATTGATATACTATATCAACTCGTTCAGCTGGTTGCGCTGTTGACTATGTTGTCGCTGTTACCTGTTCGATGGATCGTTATTTTTTCTCCGATTGACATACTTTTGCGATGTGGCCTTTCTTTTCACAATTGTGACAAATTGCTTCGCGAAATGGACATTGACTGCGCTGATGCCGATTTCCACATCCTTTATATGCCGAGAAATTATTGTTGGCCGATTCCATCCCGATTCAGGCAGACTGGTTGGGTCGATGTCACCAAATTAATCGCCGTCGAAATATTATATTCTTCGAGGAAAATAAGCCGACACGTATTTTACCGATTTGCGAAAAACATAGTATTTCAAAAGATGTGAGTATTTGAATTTACGACCTTCCAAACGTAAAATGTCAAAAAATGAAGGAAAAAAATTTTCAAATTCACATATTTCCTTACCTATTGCAAATATTCTACCTTTTCTTTTTGATATCGGGCAAGTATATGATATTCTTGGAAACTGTACTAAAAAACTTTAAAAAATTGAAAAATTAACAAAATGGCGGCTATTTTTCGGTAAAACGTAAAATTTGATTTACTAAAAAATTCCATCGTTTTTTTTTTCTTGATTTTTTCCAAATACGTGGTAATGTGTAGAATATATTTCATGTAACATTTTCGTGTACCCGTCAGTTACAAAACCGGGGGAATTTTTTTTTTCTGTGACAACTTACTCCTTAGAAGCACGCATATTTTACATCGGTGAAAACACTCCCAAACATGTTACTTGGGGGTTTTGGAGCCGCTGATTACGAATCTGGCATCCCTATTCAGAAATTGAAAATGGCGGATCCAATATGGCGGACGACTTTCCCAAAAATTGCTCAAATTTGCTTGAAATATGTTACTTACTTTTCGTCAAGTTGTAAGTACTATTGTTCTTTTCACGGTTTCTCGTTGATTTACTAACTTTTATATATAAAATTGCCAAATCATATATTTCAGGGCATACGAAAAATATTAATTTTTATTAAAAATAAAAGATACATGCCACGCTACAAATTAGATGTAAGGTATTATTGTTATAACTATTACTTTTACACAGATTTTAACATTGTACAAATATTTGAACTATATATGGTATAAAAACATGTAACAAATTTGTTTATTTTTTATTCATGAAGACTCTCTGACGACATTGCTTCGCTGTTAGCGCCATATATAAATTTTTCTCTCCATTTTCATGTGCCTGAAGTTCCCAAACGTGGTTGTCCCTAATGCCTTTAATAGTCGGTACACTGTTCCATTTCTTAAGTTTTCCTTTACGAAATAATTTGAGATCTTCTTTTTCCTGGTGAGTTTTCATATAGAGAATTTGACATAATTTGTAACACCTATAAAGTAAGTTTTGTATTGCTCTTAGATTTATGATTGTACATCGACTTTCTAATCATGTATATCATGACGTCGGTTTTTTCTGATGGAGACTCACGGAAGTGGATTAAGACTGTACAAGCGTATCTTTGCGATCTTTACGAGTGATTTTGTCCATGATTGTTTATCGTCTGAGGAGGGCTCAATCCTGGAGCCGAAACTAGTAGCGCTAAGTTAATTTATATTAATTTTAAGTAATTTTAAGTAATTTTCCATAATTATATTTTTATTTTTATAGTTTTTATAATTAAATCTTTTTTATTTTATTTTATTACTTTGATTTCTATCATTATATTAAATGAATTTATATTTTGACTCTTACATCGCCCTTGTTATTTATTTATTATTTTTAAAAGATACAAGCCACGCTACAAATTAGATGTAAGGTATTATTGTTATAACTATTACTTTTACACAGATTTTAACATTGTACAAATATTTGAACTATATATGGTATAAAAACATGTAACAAATTTGTTTATTTTTTATTCATGAAGACTCTCTGACGACATTGCTTCGCTGTTAGCGCCATATATAAATTTTTCTCTCCATTTTCATGTGCCTGAAGTTCCCAAACGTGGTTGTCCCTAATGCCTTTAATAGTCGGTACACTGTTCCATTTCTTAAGTTTTCCTTTACGAAATAATTTGAGATCTTCTGATGAAATATTAAGCATTTTAATTGCTGTCGTGTACTTTTGTACTTCAGTAACAAATGTTCTAGCATCGCCAATGCTCGCTGCAAGGGACATTCTTAAATTATGCAATGTTGCAAAATGTTTAACGATGCCATCACATGCGCCTTTGCCATGACCAGTAGCTGTAAAAAGCCATTTTGGCGTAAATTCTGATTTCGAAAAGTTGAAAAGTTGGAAACGGTTTTTAAAATGGGCAGGCGCTCCATCAGATATGAAAATTACTGTCACATGAAAATTCGACAATTCTGCTTTTAATGTCTTCATTATTGAATCAGTTGCTAGTATAGCGTGTGCAGAGTCGTGACTGGTGTCATCACATATAACCGCAAAACTCTTAACTTCTTTTCCGTAATAAGCTACTGCAGTAAATATAGAAATTTGTTTACTTTTCCAGTACGCACTTTGAATCTTTTGCTTATTTATTTGTGACCAATTTTCCGCGAAATCAAAATGTATCAGCAACTGATTTGAAGATTGTCTCACTTCTTCTTTGACTTTCATGACTTCTTTTCGTTGTATGTCTTTCACACGTATATGCAAATTTGATTTAATGGACCACTTAGCCAATTCATCCAGAAATGCCGAAACTGAACTGGTTCTTTTTTCTAATTCAGCATTATTCTAAATAACAAAATTAATATCTTCAATCGCCACATCATTTTCAATATGCAAGGACGCAATATTAATACCATCAGCCCCTGGACATTTAGTACATTTTGTAAAAATACAATTGTCGTTCCTTGGAGTACATGATATTAAAGATAGTATTTCATTACTGACATTTTTTACATCAATAATTCGTCCTTTCCTTATTTCTATTAACGTAAGAACGCAAAGTTCGAAATTTGAACAATAAATGCATAAGCATATTTCGTTTGGTGCATTAATCATTACCCATTTTGGTCTCAAAGAGTAAAATTTAGTTTGACCTATTTTTGATTCAGGGTGTTGTTCTTTAAAAAGATAAAAAATTTCCCTTATGCTGCGCGTTAAAAATCGCTTACTTTTTTTTTAACTTTTTCACCATTTTCGTAAACACTAATGACGTCGTTTTTGTTAGGGCTTTGTCGAGAACAATCGAAATCATCATTCAAATAATACTGTTGCACTATTTGAACATCTTCTTCACGAACTGGATGACCAAAATTATATTGATCTCGAGGGACAAAAACACCCTTTTCTTTTCTAATCAATCTGGATTCATCAATCGCGTATTTCGTTGCATTAGAAAATTTAGATAATATTTCAGATTTTGAAATGTCCGAAGGAATCAGTGTTAATAATCGAGTTTGTTCTGCTTTTGACCTACAATTTTCAAGAGCCAAGCCAAAATTTGCCTTCCATTGTTCGCATGTATTACACTCAGAATCTTTTGTCGTCGATAAATTGAATGCTCGAGAAAGTTTTTTCTGCATCTCTGCAGAAAATGCATCAACAATGACTTTACGTTTCCTGCTGACGTATTCTGCTTTTAAATTCTGCTTTACAGAAGATGGAGGATGGACTGGTGAAACACATTGATGTAATTGTGAAATTACTTCATTAATTTCGTATACTTCCATTTGTGCATCAACTTTAAGGTCATTGTCATCAAGTCGTTCAGGATTGTCTAAATTTAGTCGTTCATAGCTACATTCCTGTTTAAAATGTGGTAAAGAGACAGATGTACCTAGATCATATCTGTCATCGTCTAATATTGAAATTTTCGAAGACACAGAAAACGAGGACGAAAAGTGATAATAACATCGTTGACAAACTTTAGCATCTGGAATAATCACTTTAGATGGAAAAAGCGCTTGTAGTAGGATGGCTAATTCTTTTAACACAATAAATCGGTTTTGCCTAGAACTGTATATTACCTTTTTGTGAACGTTTCGAAAATCAGGGCACTTATTTCTATCTGAAGAAAATTGTTCTATTCCACTGTTCATAATTCACAAAAAATGTCAGATCCCTCTAAAACTACATTTATAGAATGAGTTTACTAGGTTACATGGTTTAAAAATTGTTTTATCTTACCTAACTCCGAAACCTCGTAATTATTATATTGGCGTATAAATTTCCGGGAAATACTTAATTATTAATATAGATACAAGACGGATGCAAACAGCAATATTGTAGTTGGAGCAGCAATTGTTGTTGTTCTTTTTTTATTGTTGTTGTTCAACACGTAATGCATATTGAATTTTGAAAATCATGAGTCGTCCGCCATATTGGATCCGCCATTTTCAATTTCTGAATAGGGATGCCAGATTCGTAATCAGCGGCTCCAAAACCCCCAAGTAACATGTTTGGGAGTGTTTTCACCGATGTAAAATATGCGTGCTTCTAAGGAGTAAGTTGTCACAGAAAAAAAAAATTCCCCCGGTTTTGTAACTGACGGGTACACGAAAATGTTACATGAAATATATTCTACACATTACCACATATTTGAAAAAAAATCAAGAGAAAAAAAAACGATGGGGTTTTTTAGTAAATCAAATTTTACGTTTTACCGAAAAATAGCCGCCATTTTGTTAATTTTTCAATTTTTTAAAGTTTTTTAGTACAGTTTCCAAGAATATCATATACTTGCCCGATATCAAAAAGAAAAGGTAGAATATTTGCAATAGGTAAGGAAATATGTGAATTTGAAAATTTTTTTCCTTCATTTTTTGACATTTTACGTTTGGAAGGTCGTAAATTCAAATACTCACATCTTTTGAAATACTATGTTTTTCGCAAATCGGTAAAATACGTGTCGGCTTATTTTCCTCGAAGAATATAATATTTCGACGGCGATTAATTTGGTGACATCGACCCAGCCAGCCTACCTGAATCGGGATGGAATCGGCCTGTTGAAACGCTTTCCTTTGCGTTCTGTCTCCTGAGAATTTTGTTGTTGCCTTCGATTGCGCGATTATGATCTTGAACGCATTGTCTTCTTCCCTTGTTTCTTTTTCAGTGAATCATCACCTAATTTGTTGGTTTGTTCTGGAGATACTAAAGATCCTGTGGTTTTAACCTCTTCGGCTGTGTAACGTGTAGCCCCGAGCATTTGAGCGATCTCGTATGCCTCAGCAAATGTGTTTGGCTTTTTTGAAATAATTTCATCGCACATCTCTCGCGATTCGAGACCGTGTAGGAGTTGTTCGATCAGCAACCTGTCTAAAAAATCGCCGTACTCACAATAGGCAGCACCCTGTTTCAAACGTAATGAGAAATTAGCAATTGTCTCACCTTTTTGCTGTACTATGCGACGGAACTTAATGTTTTCTGCGTATTTGTTTTTTGTACGATCAAAATGATTAATAAGTGTCAAGCGTATTTCATCGTATGTTAAATCTTCTGGTTGACGCGGGCAGATTAGAAATTTTAGAGCGTTATTTAGTTCTGCGCCCATGTGTACACGTGCGTAATTAGCGTATAGATCATTCGTAATCTTACTTAATTGAAGAGCCCAATCGAAACGTTTAAAATAATCTTGTACCGTTGTTCCTTCCGAAGTTCGGTATTCAGTCATTGAGAATGTCGGTATCTTTGTACGAATCAACGATGGTGTTTCCGTCGAATTCGTTGAATTACCTGCGGTTATGTTAGCTGCGGATGCTTGCAATGCACTAGTAAGCATGCTCGTCATCGCCTGTAAAAGCTCTTGCGGAATATCCATCCTTATACGATGTACGACTTCGTCCGTTCGAAACTTAACCTCAGTTTGTACTGCACGTGCTTTTCCGCGTTGTGAATGTTGCTTTCTTTCAACACTTCTGACACCACTTTTGTGTATGTGTGTGGGTTAGGCGTGTGAGGTTCGGTGAGACAATGCAAAGAAATATAATAATGTTAATGAGCACTTTATTTGGCACGGTTGTGTGCGAGATCGTTACGTTACAAGAAGTAGCGGGAACGGAAGGTACAGAAGTATGAGCTACGAACGATAGAGAGTGTGTTCGACGGAAGCTTGCTCGTGATTGGTCGAGATATAAAGCGCGTTTTACATAAGTGCGTTCCTACGAAATAAGTAACTATTGCTAAACGAAATATTACGATTACGATTTACAGAAAAACATATTCATACATAACATATAGATTGTTATAAAACTGACGTGTCAATATTAGACGGTTAATGAAAGCAGCCTTGGAGATTGTTTTGATGCGAAAGGGCGAATGCGAGTCGCACGTCCCCCCTCGCCTGGCTCACCGATAAACCGTGCAGTCATCATTTAAATACATATTAAATAAAACTATTATTTCAAATACTAAACCGACTGCTGACCGATATGCCGTATATTTAAAACTATCGCAGTACTATCACGAATTAAATTGTTAATATATTACCACGAAAAGTAACTGATTATTAATTAAAGTTGCCAGTACAAAGTGAACATACGTAAAGTGTACGTAACTTTTGGCCGATTTTCGAATCGCCTCCGCTTTCCGCTGTACCCCTCACTTCATATTAAATGCATATATACATATTTGAAATATATATTTTAAATAATAAAATTATTTTAAATACTCCCGACTGTTGACTGGTATAAGAAACATAAAATAAGCTTTGAAAACTTATTTAAAATAAAAATTATCATTTTTATTAAAACATTTGTTTTAAATAACTAAATTTTTTAAAAATGAAAATGGTAAAGAACGT